GTGGCTGATTAAAAGACTTACTGTTCTTGCAATATATTCATACGAATTACGAACATATCCATATTCATTTAACACTTAATTCCTACAGATGAACATTATATTAGGTTATTTATGGCTTTTGTGGTTTTGCAATTTTTTTCCCCCAAAAGCACAGAAAATTCCAACTTAAGCAAACGATAAAAATTCCGTATTTTTTTTTCTTTCGCGGTTCATTTCAAACTAAAAATGGGCGTCACATAAATTAAACAATTGAATGCAAAACTATGTTGTTAAAAAAAATAATGTCAATTGACATTAATTGTTGTATGTCAATTTGCCAAATTGGATGAACAACATTTCTAGCTATATGCCTCAATTAGTGAGAAATAATAAATTTATATGGAAAATAATTTAAAAAAAAATAAATTGTCTACAAGAAGTATACAGATGTATATGCATATGTATTTATTTACATACATATATAAAAAAATATCAGACTGTAAATATGTTCGCACTTAACAAAAGAACAACACTTAAAATAGAAAAAATGTTTGCTTCTATCTTAATGTAGGTTTAGCATTTTCAAATGTACACATGTCTAGTATTTTTATTATATTCATTCAAGTCTACAATGTAATGTAAATTTCATGTTAATCAAAAATTTTTAATCGTTTGGGTTAAAATATTTGGAAATGTTATCATTAAAATAGCCATAAAAATAACCGTTATTTCATTTTTACCCGAAGCGTACAGCTGGCGTTAATGGTAAATCGTTAACAGTTGATGTTAAAGCGTTAACAGCTGATGTTGAAGCGTTAACAGATAATGTTAAATGGTTAACAGATAATGTTAAAGACTAAAATTGAAGTGTGCTGTTAATATCACAGCAAGCAGTCGTTTTAAAATCAAAGCTAACGATGACTTTTTGCAGTTATAACAGAAGCAATTTCTTTTCGTTTCGATTTCAAGGAGCTGACACGAAGAAAGTTCATTACGATGAGTTTATTTTTCATATAAACAAAACGAAATGGCAGCGTTTCGTTAGATGAGTATCTCTGTTATATCATTAACAGATAGTGCTAAAGCGTTAACAGATAATGTTAAATGTTAAAATTGTAGTTTGCCGCAAGCAGCAAACATCGTTTCATTAGATGAGCATCTCTGTATTTTACCCGCTGCGAAAATCTGTCGTTAATGTTATATCGTTAACAGTTAATGTTAAATGTTAAAATCGAAGTCTGCTGTTAAATCAGCGTAAGCAGCTATTTTAAAATTAACTTAACGATGAGTTTTGTGTGGTTTTAATTTTAACAATTTCTTTTCGTTCGATAACAAGGCATCGAAACGAAATAATATGATTTCGTTAAGTTAATTTTTCATCTTAGAAGATCCGTATTTAATAAAAAAAATATCGCTTCCATCAAATTTTAATTTTACAGCATACATTTTTCTTCAAAAAAAAATATTATACTTATGCTAAATATAAGCACCCATCAACTTGCTCAGATATGTACGCACATATTCGTACATATGTATGTATGCAGTGCATATATAATACTTAATGAAACACGAGCACATAATTAGCGTTGCAAATTTAACGCCTCTTTTGAAATCACAAGTGTTTAATTACGAAAATATTGTGACCCCTTTTTATATGTACATACAGATAAGTATGTATGTGTATTAGTATGCGCATCTATTTTGATCATTTTTCGCGCAATTTAACTTTGCGCCAATTTCATGCTTTTGCTTTAATGTTTTTATTTTATTTCATTTTTTTTTAGTTTTGAAATAAAATATTTGCTAATATTTTCACACACTTTTTCACGCTTAAACATACTTATAATTTACCTAAGTATGTCATTCAGTTTATTTTAGTTGCGCAAATTTACTGATTGCCTTTTGGTTACAATGCTATTTTGTTCACCATTTTCTTAATTAATGGTAAATTTAAAAAAAAAAAATTGCAATTATAAATTACCTGCAAAATATATATTTTTGTATATATGTATGTAATGCATATGAATTTACACTAACTTACAGACGAGTATGCCAAATTTTCGCACACAAAGTAAGTTTTTCATTAAAAACATTTAGGTTGGAGCCAAATTATACAGAGCTCGACTTGTGAACTAACGCAACTTGAACGCAAATGGATATGAACTTGAGTTGGTAGGGTGGTTGAAAGGAGCTGTTAAGAGCGGACGGCCACATCTAAGCCTTTGAGTAGGCTAATTATGCTCACTTGCTTATCCAAATTATGATTTTGCGTACAGTTCGCTGGATTTAATGATTAGTTTTGGCACCCATATCCATAGGACTGGAGCCTCACGATGCGGTATATTGAACCGCATGATGGGCAGACACAACTTAAGAACTATGAATTTTTTAAAAATTGGATAACTACGCCTTCAATGTTTGTTTATTGTAGCTTAAAATGTAAAAAATATGTTTGTACTTCAGTATATAGTCACTGCTTCATTGAAGGCTTGGACCTGCTACTATATGCAGATTTGTCCATTATTTGTGTTTTTCTGTAGAGCATGGAACATCCCCATCACTCTCTCGTGTGATTCACTATATCCCTTTCGTGTACAAGAAATGGTTATATTAACTTTGATCCCGAGTATTTAAGTAACAGAAGGAAAAGAAGTGATAGAATCAACAGAATTAATACCGGTCCAAAATAGTAGTATTTACTTGTCAAATGTATCAAAAATTATAGCTTCAAAATTGGCAGCTACCGTCATGGCAGGTATTCAAAAAAATTTTGGAAAACCTCTTATTTGTCAGAGTATATAGAGTATAGAAGTCGGAGATGAGCTATGAATGGTTATATGAATTTATTTAAGGACAATTTTCCTTAGAGGGGCCGTAGAGTTTTATCATTAATTTATACTAAGAACTTATTTAGGAATTTTTTCTTTAGTAAATTCATAGAAATTGTTTGAGACTCATTAAAGAGTCAGTTAATTGCAGCGATTATGCTAAGTTAGGTAATTGTTTGTTTATTTTGGTGTTTAAAAACACTATGTTTTTAAGATAATAACGAATAATTCATTCATAATTCGTCATGCCTGCCAGATACAAAATATTCTTTGCCAAAATATCCTCATTTACTTTATACATACGAGTATATACATTTCATTTACATATCTATAAATAACATTTTTATGCAGATTATTAATGAGAATATTATGCAAAAGTCAAAACGAAAAAAAAAAATTGAATAAATTAGGCAGCAAATTACAAGAAGTTCAAGTAAACAGAAAAAAAGCAATAATCATAAATCACAATTATGCGCTATTTTGTATTAATTAGTCATACATTATTTATCATATCGACAGATTTTGCAAAATTTTTTTAACGCAATTTTTAGAAAAATGTTAAAAGTAAATGAAATATAAAATTATTGTTGGCCAATACAACTACAACAGTTGGTGGGAGCCATAAATTTTAGGCTTATAACTAAGTTTTTAAGTCAGTAAATGCTATAAATGAGTGAAAAAATATTTTAGTTAAAATTTATTATGATAGTAGTTCGTTAATCTGCTTTTTAAGCTCACTTCTTCATATTCACAGTTGAGAGAAAAAACATTTCCAATTCCAAGAATTTTGCAGGTCGGCAAAGTACTCAGAAAACAATTTATAGACCCTTGCATAAGCTCATGGTACTATGGTTTTTTCTTTTTTTTTTTAATATTTTCAGTTCATCGTGTATTTCCACTCATTTTCTATACGCCTCAGCTCGTGTTTAAGCGCTATCAATCAATGGCCACGGTACATGTGCCACGACCAAATGACAGTTGATTGGTTGGTTAGTCTACGCATGGTTGCATGTGCCTGCGGGAATGTTTCTCGAAATTATGACAAGCACGTATGCATAGAGAAATGCGCAAATAATTAAGTTTGAAGTACCGTGAAAAAGGTATTTAAGTAAACTTATGTATTTATACACAAATTTGCATAGTTCTTTACATATAAACATTCAGACTTATATGTATTTTTATGCTTATTATACACATGGCTAGTCCACAGAAGTTGCCCCTAAGCATTCTAATTAGTTCTCTTATGTTTCTAGGGAAATGTCCATTCAATGATTACTAAAATTTTGTTGCTTAAGCAAATAAATCAACCTATCAATACGAGTATTTATCTACTCATTTTTAAATTTAAATCATGCGGTTTACATAAATATCAAGCCTACAAATATTTATGAACAGTTCTAAGTATATGGATATGTGTATGTCATATATAAAAAACCCGCACGTACTTATATCTATAACTTTTGATTTTCATACTGGTCTTCACTGTAATAAACAATTCTAAGAAAAATCAGCATGTATTGATCAGAATTATAAAATTAAATACTGGAAATTGTGAAATCCCACATTTTTAATTCTTAAAAATATGATAATTTACCGATTGTGAAGAAGCTGATAGATGAAGAAACAACTGAAAAACAGATCCTTAGACTTATTTGTTAATAAATTTAATTTTATATTATTTTGCTTTTTTGTTTAATATTCTTCTAATGTTATTTCGTTTTTATTTAAATAATTTTATTTTCTTTATTTTATTTCATTTCTTATTAATTTTTTTATTTTTTTGCCTAATTTTTTTATGTTATTTTTTATTCTATTTTAACTTAACTTATTCTATTTTATTACTTTTTTAATTCCATTTTGTATTTTATTTTGGTTTAGTTCCTTTATTTACTTTATTAATTTATTTCTTTTATTTTAGTTTTAATTTTCAGCTATTTTACTCTTATTTTCATTTATTTTATTTTATTTCATTTTATTTTATTTTATTTTATTTTATTTTATTTTATTTTATTTTATTTTATTTTATTTTATTTATTTTATTTTATTTTATTTTATTTTAATTTATTTTATTTAAATTTTTTAAATACATTTTGTTGTTTAATATGCATTTTATTTTATGTTTTGATTTTTTTTAATTATTTGCCTTTTCGAAAATGTATTTTAAAATTTACTCCTCTTATTGTTTATTTTTAGCTTTGGAAAATTATTACTCATTGGTAAATCACACCCGCTAATCTTATCTCTTAGGTGAGTTTTTGCAATTTTTATGATTTTATAATGGTTTTGAGGCGCCACATTGTTGATGCCGAATTGTCAAGATAAATAATCAAAAGTTTTATTCTTATTTATTATCAGCATTTATCATGTTTTTTCCGTAATTATTACTATTTAGTTTACCGTAAGAATCTTAGTCATATTATTCATATAATTTTATTATATGCATTATTATTTCTTTGTTTTGATTATCGTTAAATAAATAATGGTGCCTTCTTAATTACTAGGCCTACAAACTAGTAGTAAATGTGTGTATGTACATAGTTGTAAATACAATAAGAACTTTGCGTTTGTAAACAGATTTATTTATCATTACAGTGTATTCATATCCAAAATGTGACGCATGCTTACATTTTGGCGACACAGATCCTTCTTAACGATAAGAAATATTTGTTTAATTACGTTCCAATTCACTTATAGAAATTTATTGAAATGTAAGCCAGTAAGAAAATGTTTTTGTAACAGACACTTTGGTTTAGTTATTTCTTTTTTTTTTTTTAAAATTTAGGTTTCAATTTTATATGAGTGTAAATCTGAAAATAAAATTATTTTTTAAAATAAAACTTACAAACTTTTGATTTATTAAGAACTACGTTGCGTATACGTAACGTACTTGTAATTGTAGTTTATTGAATTAGCTATAGCCAAAATCAATGCGGTTGTATTTCAAAAAGTTCTTTCAACTGTTTTAAAAGAAATTAAATATTTTTTAATATTTGTTTAAATTATTTATATTAAAAAAATCGTTACTTTTCATAATCCTCAAATAAATTTTTATCTCACTTTAATAAGTGGAATTAGATTTTTAAACATTTTTTCTTTCAAAAAATAAATTTATACAAAGCTGAAAGGTCATTTGTAAGATTAAGCTTTATAAAGACACATTTAAAATGTACTGTAAAGCGGACTATGTAATGTTCATGTAAAGCAGACTGCAGAAACGGCATGCAGTTGCAAGGTGAGACAAGTTATGAAAACCAAAACGAAATATTACAATGCGCCGAGGAGTATATGAGGAGAATATAAAAAGAGACAAACGAAACGAACTGTGAAAAAATGACAATTTAACTGTTGACAGCTACAAACATATTTACAACTATTGTTCTACAGTTTATCCCACAAGCATAATATAAAGTAACTGTACCATACATACATACCACTTTGCACATAACGTTATTTTTTTGTATTCTCTTAAAGTTTGAAACATTTTAATGCATGCTTTAAATTTACTTGTCAATTTAGAAAGTGCTCAACTGACAGTTGGGGGTTTGTCGGTTACTCAGCTCTTTCATCGCATGCCAAAGCAAAGCTCAAAAACAAAATAAAAAAGTAACAAAAAAAAAAAAAAAACGAAGTTGCCGGCGTCAAGTTTGTGCTGTACGCTTTACCAACCAACCGTCCCTAACTGAGCTGTCAACTTGAAGCTTGACTCAGTTTATTTGATGTCTTGTCACTTTAATGCGAAAAAAGTACTTTAGTTTTTCAACCAATTGCCTTTACACTGCGGTTTTTACGGTTAAAAAAAAAGACCGCATACCAGCATTTTGCATCTCTATTAAAGTGTGTCTTCAGTTGTTTTCCTTTTTTTTTTGCTTTTTTTGTCGCTTGCGACTCTAAAAGTTATGTTTCGCTTTCTCGCATTAAAGTGGTGATAATTTAAATGACACTCTAAGCTATCTTACATGGTTTCTATATCAGTGGATGTGGGAAATTTTTAAAGTGCTTTTGAATATGAAAATAATACTAATCAAAGTGTTTGTCAAGCGTGAAGTTTCTCTATTAACCGATAAAGCTGCTAAAAAGCAACGAAAAGAGAGACTCGTCAAGGTGTAAGCCGCAGTTATTGGGTTGAGAATTTACCAAAACTGTGTTTGTTTTCTTATATTATAACAGATGTTTCTTGGCTTCCTCTCCCCAACTAAAGAAAGCAGTAATAACCGCACGGTGGCTGAGCTGATATCTTTGAGCTCAGCCTGTCTTTCCCTCCTTATTTTACAGCCACCGTACTCATTAAAGGAGCGCTGCTCTCAACCACACCGAAAGCACTAGAAATTTTCCTGAATTTTCTACCGAATGCAAAGGCGAAAGGCTAAATGCAATTCAGCCTCAGAGAAATAACACACAAATACTGAATTCTAAACCATTTTCGGAAGAGTTAGAAAAGACCACTTTTGTTTTCTGCTTCGACAAAACTTCCTCAACAAAAATCCCAGAGAGGAATCAATGGGAAAATTAAACACTTCTGGTTCAAAGGCCTGTATCCATCTTCATAGACGGTTCAAAACTAGATGACCATATAGGCTTCGTAGTTTATCCGGAGCGGCTTGCAATTGACATGAGCAAGAGGCTTCCCAACCGTTGTAGCACCTTTCAAGATGAACTAAAGGTAGCCAACTCATGGCTACTTAACCCCAATACAGTATCTCAGCCTATCTCAATGTATTCTGACAGCTAATCTACCATTAAACCTCCTCATTGTAGACACACCATCTCAAAAGTAGTAGGTAATTCTTAAACAAACTCTCGGATGTTTACAAAATGACCATGGTTTCGAGCCCCGGATATAGAGGTATCTCAGAAAATTACGAAACCGACTGGCTAGCAAGAAATAGTACAATCCTAACCACTAAAAACTCTGTAAACGATGTGGACAAGATACTTGCTAAGATCGACCTTCACCAGCAAGGTCAATAGCAGATAGCAGGATGAAGCCACATGCAATGTGACCAGGGAAATCAGGCCATTGTTCGATACAAAACGAACTAAGTCTTTACTCCTACTAAACAGACCTCCTCGAGCATAACAACCCGCGTAAATATCGCACACATTCTTAGGTATATGTCGCGGTTGCAGAGACAAAGACGGGAAGGAGACGGTGGTGCACTGCATCTGCCCCTGCACCGCACTAAGTGTAGCACGACCTCGTTTCCTATGTAATTTCAACATAGACTGCCTCGCAGATATAGCGTTAGCAAGTATCAATAATCTCATGTTTTTCATTACACAGAGAGGAAGGTCTTCAATAGACCACCCTGTAGGTATCACAACAGGCCAAGAGGAACAAGTGCGCTCGATTTAACAACCTACCTAGCTAGTTTCTGCGAGAGATATTTCCTTCACTTTTGTCCTCTTCATTAGATTATTGGTATCACCTTGTTTGAATTCACATTTAGTACCAACCGGCTTGGGAAGATCCTTCTCAATTCTAACGGTCATCATAATTCTGTCGTATAGATAAGTTCAACCGGACAGCCTGTATTCATAGTGGTGGATGTAGAGGCTGCTCCTTTAATATCACCTAGCCGAGGGGTTAGCATTGCGTACTGCCATACGGAAAGGCTTGGTTTCAAATCCTGGTGCCGTACGAATATCCGAAAAGTCATAGAAAATTAATTTAAAAGAAATTTAAGCTAAATTTTCTAACTGTGGTCGCCCTTCGGCAGGGAATGCAAGCCCCGCAGGCCTAAAACTGCACTGGAAAAAACAGGTAATCCCCGACGGCCTTCAATCTTACTCTTTATGAGATCTTACAAAGATATTGAACTGGTTTATTCTGATATGAATACCTCCTTCACTTAATGCAGGGATTTATAGCTAATAGTTTTTCACCAGGAGAAAGATTTAAAGCCTCACATGGTCTTTGAAGCTGTAGATGAAATCCATTCTTTGTAATGAAGAATAAAAACAATTTGGTAGATCGGAGACCAGGACCGGTTGGATTTTCGATTATCCTTCAGGCGGGCTCCTCGGTCGGTTGGTCTGTAACGCTGGGTTGTTTTGCTCTCTTTGAGAATATTTGGAAGGTTCAGTATAGCTGACGATTACTGTCACTTTTAATGAATCATCAATAATGTGATTGAAGAATTCAGCGATTGAGGTTGATGGAATACCAAATTTTATCTGCCTCCAAACCAGTTTTAGTGCTATACTCATATGTGCCTTAAATTTTCCACATAATTTCACTTTCAATTAAACCAAAACGACCTGCACACAACACAAAAAGCGTATTGAAATCATACATCATTCGGCGCAGGCGCGGCCATTTAGTTTTACATACATATGTATATATGCAATATTTCCATAAAAAAGTAAACTTTTCACAAGTTATTGTGCCCATAATAAAGTTGCTTACAAACAAATTTAATACATATGCATGTATGTATGTATATAAATAAAAGTTTATTTTTAAATAAATAAAATTGGAAATCAAAACAAAAACCATAATCGGATATGTAAAGTAAAATCTACAAAAAGAAAATCGGATATAGAAAACAAAGTAAATAAAGTAAACCAAAAAAAAAAAAAAAAAAAAACAACACAAAGCACTAGTGAAAGTAGCGTAAACAAACAGATTTAAAAAAAGCAACAAAACGGCAACACCAACAATCATAATTTTACCTATACACTTACACGCAGTCAGCTGTTTATTTGTCAGCTGAAATTGACAAGCTCACGTTTTGTGAAAAGGTACTATAAATGTGTGCATACATAGTACATATGTATTGCATTTGTGGTCAAAAGCTGCTTTGTATGTATATGTGTACAGATATGTATGAATTGACGGCAACACTTGACGTTGTCATCTCTATAATCGCAGCAATGCTCGTCATTGTCAACATTTTATGTGTCACACTTTCTCATAGATACGTATGTACATACATACACGTATATACACACTACATAAATTGGTATGTTAGTGTGATTACTATAATTCATTAGAAATTTCATTTAAAAGCACGCAAAGCGTTAAGTATAATATTTAATTATTTTTTAATTCTGAGATGTGATTCAAAAGTTTAAGAAATGTTGTAGGGCAGTTGGTGAAATTTTTTTTCCATTTATACCATCAAGAACTCCACAATCATTCCATTACCGCCAAAATATTTCAATGCCAATTTAGTATGACGATCTATTGTTTGCCTTAAAAAAGGTCTCAGTTTAACCGACAGTCTCTCCATTTCCTTCCGGTGATT